CGAAACGAGTAACGGGAGCAAAGGAAAAGGCAATGAAGCGAGGGATTAGACACTGTCGGGAGTGTGGACACATTGGTCATGATAGAAGACAATGCCCAAGAAATTTGAACACACCGTAAGATGTTAACATTATTTATAATAAGACCTAAAATTTGAATAGGTAAAGTTTTTATGTGCTTTTGTTTGATGTTTATGCAGGACATCATCGTCGAACAATGACGAATCAACCCTAATAGATCTTAGTGACCCATTATTCGACGAATTTTACAGGATGCAAGGACCAACTCAATGATTTATGTTTCTATTATACGAAGCCCGATTATTATGAAGAGTAATGATGAGGTGAAGTTTTCTAGATGCAGTTTTATTATTATTATTTTTTTGTTCATGTCCACCGATGAGCTCTTACTATGTCCATTGATAATTGAAATGAAAATTTGCTTGGTTTCATTCTTGCATGAAATTTGGACACATGTTAATTTTACGTCTTCTCCCTATTTAGAAATTTTCATAGACATTATCTAAGTATCAAAATTTGAGTTATGTGAAGAAGCAATGACTTTTACCTTGTAAAATGGGTAGTTTATGGTGAATTATGTTTTAACAGAGATTCATTGATTATATGACAGGCTAATGCAACATTTCCAGCAACCAGTTGTTTCCATTACCAGTAATGATTTCTAACAGCACTCATCATTTCTAGCAGCACTCACTTTTTTCGAATGTTATGTTCTAGTGTTTTACTGATTATTAAGATCTGAGCTCGACTGGTTATTAGGTGCATGATTTTGCAAACATTCGTAACTGAAGGATACTTGAAGCACTTTGTTGGAACAGAAAGATTAGAAAGCAACGTGTAAAAAGGTACATTCTAGCTAATCACATTTCGAATGGTTGGAGAATATTAAGGGGTACACTAACATTTGAACTACTCATAATTCCACATACAAAAGAAAATTTGATTGCAAAGCATTTTATGTGCTCCTTCTTAGGAATACCACGATCTCCCCAATTAACTGAACAACGGTAGCCACAATCACTAGGTCGTATTGGTCAGCTTCTTCTTAGCAGGTCTCACGTGCTTATGGTCACTCATGTCCCTAGTGATATAGACAAAATAAATATTCAACAATATTTGGAATTTTATTATATATATAAATAGACCATAAACCATTCACTAAACAATGTATAGCACATGGTATGTTACTTATGACTTACGTGTCATGATAATGGGGCTTTACTGATTCCCAACGTGCTGCGATATTGGCTGCTTATTGAATAATATTTCCATATTTGCAAAATATAATGTTAGATAGAAGGAGCACATGATGACTTGCAAGACATAGTCCCAATAATTATATATGAAGCAAATGATATTTGTATTATTTTAAATTAGATAGTGACATTAAGGGAATATACTTTTAATTTGTGCAATACCACGATCACCCCCAACCAACTGAACAGATGTAGCGGCAATCACTTAGTCGTATCGGTCGGCTTCTTCCGAGCAGCTTTGACGTGCTTATGCTCATTCATGTCACCACCATCGTCTAGTATCTCTTTCACAACATCAGGGGACACATAGTCCCAATTATAACTTGTATGAGTAGTTGCCGCAAATGCTCGGAATTTTTCGAATCCTTCGTTGAATGCCAACTCCAGTTCACTGTGGTGCTCTTCGCATCGCATATGGTTCATCAAACAACCTTTAATTTCATCATTCATTACTGTATCCAACTCCTCAGCTTTTACCTTCCTTTTATGACTCAGCTTCAAGTACTTGTTCTTTTGGGAGAACGCTTTGTTCACTCTAATGTTAAGATCAGCCAAAATGGCTTCGTCTTCAACACATTTCTCGTGCCATGAATTGATAAGTCTGGAATTATAATCCAGTTTGCTACTGACTGAATCTATTGCCTCTAATGGATTATCAGAGTTCCCCTCACTCCCAAATGATGTTGAAAATGGAAGGGGTCCGCGAGTACAACTTGGAAATGGAACCTACGACTCCAATTTTTCATCTTCGATTGTGTTGTTGGCCCCTGAAGAGGTTGACATGCTTGAATAATCCTATTTGTTTTAGAGGATGAGGATTGCATATGCAATTTCGTTTGAGAAATGGAACATAGCTTTATAGACCAACATACCAAAGCTTGAGTGTAGTCAACATATGTACTTTATTTCAATTTAAAAAAAAGAGGTGTCAGGTTTTGCTTTTCAAGCATGTCAACCTCACACTCTCCTTACACCACTGTTAGTGGTTGAAAGAAACTAAATGGAAGTGACATCTCTTAGTGAACCCAACCAAACTAACCAAACTAGTTAGGATTAAACTTAGATTGTATGAGACCTTTTTTAATTTATACATTGTCAACCAAATGTTTTTTTGGCGGGAACCTTTTTTTATTGGTATTACTATCACCCCCTTCATAGAAATTCTCCCTCCACAAAAAACTCACTCCTCCACCGAATCTGTCTCCATCTATTGACCATTTTTATTGGTATGTCACATTCCTAGACAGAATGACCATTTTGTTGGAAGTTTTGAGTCTGAAAGAGTTCTTGCTTTTTGGAAGGAGAGGCATCTTCAACTTGGTGATGAAATCCAAAGGGCAATGGCATGTTTGGAATTTGTTGAAGGCCAAATTGAAGATGATAGAAGGCAGGCCAATCTGGATAGGGCGAAGTTGCAGCGCATGAAGCGTAGACACAAACGACTTCAGAGTGTAGCTGTTCAAAAATACAAGAACTCATCTAATGCAATGGATTCAAAGAAGCGTGTGATGCAAGCTGGATTCGACTACTTCCGGTC